GCTTCCCCATACGATTGTAAGTAAACTTTCAATTTTTTTCTCCTGTTAATCTGTCTCATGTCAATTTGATTCTTAGAGCAGCTAGAAGAACCTTTAGGGGTAGAAGAAGTTTCTTCCTCCCCTGTAACAGGACACAATGGGGGTATTATCCACCTTTCCTCCACCTCAGAATTCTGCCTTCCCACATGTGTAAATTAGTTAGCGCTCATCCACTGTATTTTCAACTTAAAATGTTTTATTATATTTCTCCTCTACTATCCTATCTGTCCCTGAGGGGGTGGGTGTGTGTGCATGAGTGATCAATTTTCTGTTGTTTTAAAGTGGCTTCAGAAGAGAGGGAAAGTAAATGCAGGTAGGTGTTCAATCTGTTATCATTTTCCAGATCATTTAAAACTTCACGAGTCTATTTTTTAAGCTCAAAAAAAAAAACAAAGTGTTAGTTTAGGTTAGTATTTTAATTTAAGGAGCAAAATCACTTCCAGAAAGCAGAGCTCTTCTACACTCATGCTTAGAGTAGGACAGTCTAGGCATCAAATGTATTGATGGAGGGGAAAGTCAAAGAGAAGGGCATCCTGAATTTGGACAAGGATGTAATCTAAACCACCCCCGTGGGCAAACCTAACTTACCCTGTTCCACTCTGTATTTTTTCGAACAATGAAGACCTTGAACTTGATATTGGCTAGATGAAAGGGCTGACTGGCAATTCTAAACTGCCTCTTTCTCCAACATAATTATGAAAATATGTCAGAGCATACTTACAATGAAGTTTCTACCGTGGTGGAACGCACTGCCAGGTAAGACACTTGAATTTCAGGTCACTTTCCTCATTGACACAGTTAGGCCTTTCCTGATAGTAGCTCCTTTATTTGCTAAATGAAAAGCACATCTATGAAGAAAGCACATCACTCAGCTAGAACACGTCCAAGCCAATCGCTGTATTATTATTATTTTTGTTCAGTAGCACTGAGTGATACAGGTTAATCAAAGGTAATAGAGTACTGAAAACACAACTGATTATTTCTTTTGAAAACCTTTTTACTAAGTAGATTTGTGTGTAAGCCCAGGTATATGGCTATATATGCACAAAAAAATGTGCAGGACTCACACTACCTGCTTGAGAATAGCTACCTCAGGCAGCGGCCTGGTCATTTAATTTTTATTTCTATACTGTGAAACGTTTACATTTCTCATGTACTACTTTTTTTCAATTAAAAAGAAAGAAAAACTCTTGCTCATCAAACTGATTGTCTACACAGCAAAGATGACAGGGATCCACCGGACTACCTGCCCGGCAGCCAACCCGCCTGGATCCCACACCCCTCAGAAATGAGAGTCATGTCTGGCATCATCGAGTCAAACCCCAACGAGGCTGTTATTCATTCACGGTAGGGATGTGAGAAGGAATTGCTAAGGTATTTGTTTCAAACATTGTGGCCTCCAACCTTCAACCAGTCTATTTTTCAAGCGTCACTTCCCTTTAATAAAATGTACTGATTTGCCCAGATATCCCATCGGCAATTCCAAATCACTAGGTGAAGCGAGAGTTCTTTGCCAACAACTGCAATTATAGCATCTCTGCATGTTAGTCTGCTAGACAGACTGGAGCTGTCTTGTCCCACAATAATTATTCCTGAAAGTATTAGAGCTATGCTGTGGGTGTGTTATTTTAAAATCTTGCCTTTTACAAAAGACTAGCAATATCTTACTACACTGATGGACAGTGACTGCGATGGGATGGGGTATGGGTGGGGACTTGATAATATGGGTGAATGTAGTAACCACATTGTTTTTTCATGTGAAACCTTCATAAGAGTGTATATCAGTAATACCTTATTAAACAAAAAAGACTAGCATTTAAGAAACACGTATTTTCTCTGTTTTTTTTTTCCTGGAATTTCTGAAATGCTCACCAGCCATATCTTGTAACATTTAGAACTCCAATGACTAATTAGAAGCATGGGAAAGAGAATCCTAGCGTATAGAACGATAAGCACTAAGCTGGTGATTTCCTAGACTCCACATCAATGACTTCAAGCCATGACAGCTTTGATCCCATTTTCTATTTTCTATAGGGCACCTTTTTAACATGCCCTATGGATTCCCTTCTTGAGTTCACTGTGTAATAGAAAGAGAACAAGAGAGCCAGCAGAGAAGCCCCCAAAGCTCCACTCACAGTGCCTGCAGAGTGACAATGCAAAGGGACAACGATCGCCCGAGGAGAGTCTAGAGCCCAAAATCTGACCCATGTGAGCCTAGTATAAGCCTCCAAATCCTACAACAAACTATATCACAGTTTGAAAAAAACTAACTTTTCTCTGGAGGAAAAAGCTTTCATACTGTTAATCTCTTACTTCCATTATCAGATCTTAATGATCTGCAAACTGCCTTCAACCATATTCAAGTGAGCATTCTAGGGAGTTCTAAGGTCTTAACAGACCCTTAATTTGCCCCAATCTCCCCCTAGTGTACAGTACAAGTCTCTCCTATGTCAACAATGGGCAATAAAAATCAAATTACAAAACACTGGTGCTACCACACATGTAAGAAGCTGTCTGGTCCAGCCCCTTCATTTCAGATGGGGACACTGAGGGCGGAGAGAGGAAATGACTGAGGAGGCCTCAACACGGGTAAGGGGTGGGGGTCTGGGCTCCTCCCAAGTCTGAGGGTTGCCTGCCCACTTCCCATCATTTCAACTTCTGTTTCTTTTTCTTTGTTGTGTGCTGTCTCCCTACATGGTTACTAATTTGATATTGCCTTTAAAATAAGGCAGTGGTTTCTCTTCACTGTTACCAGAAAATATGCTCACTATAAACAGTTGGCAAAGTGTAGCTTTTTTCTAATTTTCTACTTACATACCTTACATGTGCTTGTTTGTAGAGAACTTGGAAAGTACAAAACAGGACAAAGCACCAGAAAAAAAAGAAGCCATAATCCTGCCACCTCAGGATCACCATTGCTCACATTTTGGCATATTTCCTTTGAATCTTTCTTTTTAAACATTTCATGTAATTATATTACATTGCATGTATAATTTTACATCCTGAGTAGTTTTCTTCCTTCCCGCTTAGGCATTTTTTCCTATTGGATTCAGACAACTCTGTGTATGTGTATTATATTTCTCTTTCTTCAGCAGGAACTCATTTATCTGTCAGAAGGGTAAACAGACACTGAAAATCATGGTCACAGTTTTAACTCTGTGGCTTTGGTCTTTTTTATCTGCTTGAGGTAGTTTTGAAATTATTTTGTTGCCAAAAAGCTGTATGTACTTTCTGCTGTTTGTTTACTTGGATCTAGAAAAACCTCCCACTGACATGATGTCTGGCCATATCCTGCCCAACTCAAGCCAACATCAATACACATCGATATTTGCATTCGAAGTAAGATGCACATGGCCAGTGCCCATTTTAGAAGGGAAGATTATATTGAAGCAAAAGTAAAATCCTATTATATTAAAAATGCCATAATTGAGTAGTCAGGAGATTCAATTTCATATCCCCAAAGCAAGAACAAACAGGGATAAAACCCTCCTCCCTGGCACCTTTTCTCAGGGGCCTGGCCTAGGCCATTTCAATTCCAGAGATATTTCTCCCATGGTTCTTACTCGGCCATGACTGAATGGCATATACACAGATCACCCCTGCTTCTTAAAAACTGGGCAAAGGTCACTTGTGCATAAAGGTGAAAACACACAGTAGGACCAATGCTAACTCCCAAGTGCTCATCATGTCACTGTGGAGGCCCCATGGAAATGTCCAGAGGACTTGTGGAGAAAACCCACTGCTGGAAAAAAGTGCACATCCGTGACTTATCTGCAATGTCACCACAGACCCATCTTTTGTCTATGGGGAAAGAATATCCCATTAAAATCTATAAATGAAACCAATTAAACCCTTCTACAGGGAGATTTTGATCTCTGCCAATATTCTATCTGAAGATTTTAATTTGTCATACTATAATTAAAATTTTAAAAGACAGCATGTGTCAAATGCATGACCATATGTTAATTACATAAAGGTCTGCAGGTACTCAGGCCAGTTCTGTGGAAGGAAAATTACACCTTGGTGCTTACAGCAGTGCTGTAAATAACAGTAAAGTTTAGACTCTACAAATGCTATTTTCTGCACTCTGATCGTATAACGTGGCCTTCTGAAGGAAAGGCAGCATTGCGCTCCCTCCCATCTGCACTCCTCCTGACCTTTGTGGACAGGAGCAGAGGTCACCTGGAAGAAGTGATGAGAGAGAGCTCACCAGTGAAGGGGGCAGTCCTTCACCTTCTCGCTGAGCTGGTCATAAGCCAAGTGCTCTGGCTCAGGCTGAAAGGGTTTTATGTTACCGATCAAATCTGAGATATTGCCCAAGGCCAGTGCTCTTCAGTGATCCATGGCACTTGAAGACCGATCTGCCAGTGAAGACATGGGTGGCATTTCCAGTAATTCCCATGGGGCTAAAGCCCCTCTAGGCTCTTCAATCATTATGAGCGAAGGCTGGGGTTTCCAGAGAAATGTTGCAGCTCATTTCCATTAGGGTCACCAAGTTAGGAACATTTGAACCAAAGGGATTTAGAAATACATATTTAAGAGAAAAGTGTTACACTGAAAAAGGCTGAGTCTCTAGTTGCTGCTGTGTCGATCTGCAATGCTAATTATGCTAATTATGCTAGTTTAGTGGAGGAGGACTGAGAGAGTCCCAGTTGTAAGCGAAGAACTCCTGCAGTCCCTTTAGTCATTCCCCATCTACAAGAGAGACCACACGCAGCAGCCCATGACTGTGGTGAAGATGCAGCCGAGCACAAAGTACTTGACTGCACGGTGACTCTAATACATCATGTTTGTTCCCCAAATTTTAATTTTAGAGCCACATATCATCTGTTTGAAGTATGAGTTCCTCTCCTTTGCCAGGCAAATTTGCTAATTTCTTGTTCTTGACATTGCCAATTCCAGCCAGTTTCTAAGATACCCCAAGCAATGAGTGTGTGCCAATGGTGTTTTAAAATATTTACCTGCAGGCTGTTGTTCAGCAAATCAAAGTCACTGTATCGCCTAACAATCTGTAAGAGACAAGGCGGTATTTGATTCAGCAAAGACCATCTTTCTTCATTTCCTTGTTTAATGTTTATTGGCATCCTAGAGCCAAGGCACTTGTACAAAGGGTAGCAGGGCTTATACCTGGTGCTTGTTTAACTTGACAGGCCCAGAAAACAGACCTAGCAGTGCCCCAGAGTTGGCTTGACCACTGGAAACTGGTTAATGCCAGCCAAACTCACAAGATGCCACCAGGCAAGAGATAATGATGAAGTATTTGTTTTCAGGTTGAATAGCTCTTTTAAATATCTTTCTTATTAACCAGGCACCTGAAAAGATGAATTAATGATCTACTCCCCCTCCCCAAAAAAACATTTTACTGAACATGAAATCAAAGTAAAAGGAGGTGTGCAATTTCACCCTTGCCCTGGATAAAACATCCCCCAGCTGAGATCCCACCACTCCAGAGACCCAACTGCACCTGCAGGCAGAAAGGTCATACCTCTCCTGGGTTCCCCAAGGTCCTCTTCCTGGCAGACAGTCCACCTTCCATTGTCTATAAGTCTTTCTTAGTTATGTGGATGCTGTGGGTTAGGCCCTGTTAAATTCTACTAGCTCTTCAGGCCCTGGGCCAGCGAAATATTTTGCTGTTGAATAGCTTGACTTCAACCCTTACTGATGATTCTCAAATGTTAGTGCACAGAAGAATTACCTGGAGATCACCAAGGACCCCACCCACAGAGAATCTAATTCAGTAGGGCTAGGCTGGGGCCCCAGAGTCAATATTTTTGTTAAGTATCCCCTGGGATTCTAATGCACTGGATCTAGAAAATTGCATCAAGGGTTGATTTTTCTGGTGGGACACTGCTGTCAGCCCTCTTTGTCAAATACACATCAAAGTTAAATATAAGGGCCATCCTCATAAGTGCAAAGGAGCAAAAGGTACCACAGGTATTAGCCACTGAGAGCATTCCAACAGAGTGAATTCCAACCCTGTTCTGTCGCGGATTTGTGTGACCTTGGACCTGTCACTCACCTCTTGACTGCAAAATGGTACTAATATATCACATACAACTGTTTTTAAAGGATTAAGTGAATTAATGTGCTTGAATCCAGCACTTAACAATAAATGCTGAATAGATGTTAAATATTATAATTATTCAAACAAAAGCACTTTGAAATTTCAGGCAAAGAAAAGACCAAGTGTGGGCCACTATGGTTAAAGGTTGCTTAGGGTGTGAGGTTAGGTTTAAGCTGAGCTGAAAAGGACAGGGTAAGATTTTTGAAAGATGGGACAGCAGGAAGTTCATTATAATTACTAAAACAGGGAGGAAATGGCCCCTACATGGAATCTGGCTACCTCTGCAAGTCACCTGGGGTGGGAAGAACCTGTAGATCTATGCAGAAAGTTATTTTTTTCCAAGGCCACCACAGAAGGAAGCAGACCCTGAGGCTCTAAGACTCTCACCCACTGTCGGGGAGGGAACCAGTGCTAGAAATTCCATGAGTGGACATGGGAGTCTATGAAAAGCAGCGTCCAAACTCTATAATGTCCAGGGCACTGTCTTGCATTTCCACCTGGTGAACTGAACTCTAACCTCCCCCATCCAAACTGTGGCTGGAGAGGATGAGGTCTGAATCACTATGAACAAAACAAGTAATTTGCCTACCCTACTTATTCTGGGTCAAGCTAGAGAACAAATTCCTCGACACTCTCCGTGGTAACATCACACACAAATTAAACCAAACAACTGGGAACAGAAAAACCTTTTATAACACATGTCTTAAAGCTAAAGGCTTATAGCTAAATGAAATATGATTTCTATTTATGCATATTGAGTTTTCTAGAATTTTAGATGCTCCAAGCCAGAATTCTGTTTAAACACTTTAAACCTTTTTCTGACAAAAAAAATGCTTACCTGCCAACTGTTTTCCACAGAAATTCCTCTTTGCACCCGAATGATATATTCCTAAAAACGAGGAGAATTTTAAAAGTTACAAAACACCCAAGTTAGAGGATCAGAAAAATAAGTGAAAATACCAGATAAAGTAGATCTAGGGACAAACAGAATTACTAGGAACAGTGAGGGAAATTACATAAACATAAAAGGCTAATCTATCTGCAAGACCCAGCAAATCTTAAATGTGTATGCACCAAACACCAGAGCTACAAAATATGTGAAGCAGAATCTTACAGAACTGAAAGAAGAGATATGCAAACCCACAGTTACAGCCGGAGACCTCAATACTCTTCTCTCAGCAATTGATAGAACTGAACAAAACCAGTGAAGAGACAGAACTCAATACCACCATCAACCAAGACTCAATTAGCATTTACAGAACACTCTATCTAACAGCAGAATACATGCTTTTCAAGAGGCACATAGGGATGGCAAATAAACACTTGAAAAGATGTTCAACACTGCTAGTCATGAAGCAAATGCAAATTAAGACAACTTTCACTATACACCTATCAGGATGGTTAAAATGACAAAAGAAAACACCAAATGCTGACGTGGATACAGAGAAAAGTGGATCCCTCATACACTGCCAGTGGGAACGTAAAACAGTACAGCCACTCTGGAACATGGTTTGGCAGTTTCATAAAAAAATTAAACATGCAACTATCATATGACCCAGCAGCTGCACTACTGGGCACTCATCCTGAGGAATGAAAACTTATGCTCGTACAAAAATGTTCATAGTAGCTTTATTAGTAATAGCCCAAGGTGAAAACTAGCCCAATGTCCTCTAACAGGTGAATGGTTAAACCTTGCTACACTCATAGCATGGAATTCAACCCAACAACAAAAAGGAATAAACTACTGATATATGCAGCAGCGAGGATGAATCTCCAGAGAATTATGCTGAGTGAAAAACCCAATCCCAAAAGATTATAAAC